GTACGCCGGGTTTCATGGTGTCGCCGACTCGAGAGGTCCCGGGTTCGAATCCCGGTGGGGACAGATGTTTGTGTGATGAATACGAGCATTTGTACTCCAGTCATGGATGTTTAATATGTATTTCTATATAAATATGCTTATATATGTACAGTATATGTATTCTATCCGTTACCCTAGTATCCCATAACACAAGCCTTACAGTGCTTATTTTGGGGCTAGGCTTATTGGTGTAAGTGTTGGAAATAATAAATAATAATAATAATAAATAAATTTATGCAAAGGTAAATATATTAATGTAAATGTCAAAAAGGGTAATATTAAAATTGTTTCAAATATTTCGTCCAGACGTACAAAAACGCAGCTGCAGATTTGTGGATAATAAAACGATCTGAACCTACTTACACACACACTATTATGATTAAACCACATAATTACTTTTAAACCATTATGCAGACTGAACAATATTTCAACTCTATATGAAAGTTAAACGCATAGAATATATTAAACTATAAATTCATTAAATATTTTGTTTTTGAATCTACAATAATGTATCTGATGATATTTTTCTTCTATTTCCATTTTTCTTTAAAGCAATATACTGCTGCATCAATGCCTGTTTTGTTGAACAAAATTAAATTTGCCCGTCATGTCACCAATTTGAACAGTTGTGATGACGTGACGCGCAATTTAAAATAGGTAAATATTCATTTGTGTCATATGAAATTTTGGAAATAGGTAAGTAGGTAGGTATATAATTTTCAGCTTCTTTGTTTTTCTCATTTTATTAAGTTCAAATTGGTGACGTGAAGCGCTAAAATAGCAATAGGTGTTTCAATTCAGTGTCAATTAAAACCTAGTAAGTGTCATATTAATTAATTTTACAACATACAAAATTAGATTTTTTTTATCAGTCTGATATCAATCGCATATTGTAAATTTAATATATATTTTTATTAATTTAAGGGTGAAATAACTTAACGAACCAATATTTCACTTTAGTTTGGGTTTATGTACAGTTTATTACTTAAAGGCAAATAAAGTGTTTATTGTCTTACTTTGACGGACCTCCATGCCCATGATTACTTAAACACTGCGTCAAGCTCAAGTTCCTACACACTCACGCTAAGTCCGTCGCCCGCTCGCAGGTTGCTTATTGGGTCTCCCTTATGGTTCTCACCCGGTGGGCTTGACCGCGCCGTGGGCGACACGTGAAAACGTGGAGGGGGGTAAAACCCCAAAGACCGTCCCGTACGGGACGCGAACCCGAAACCTCTGAGGTGGGCAGAACAGATCCCGTGCGGGGAGTCGAAATAAAAAAATCATCTGATAATGTTTGGTGGAACACAAAAATGCGTTAACATTCCTTCAAAGGACTTACTTGACAAGCTATTAGATTAAATAACAATGTTTGGTGAAATAAGGTCTAAGACATAAAAAACTGATAAAACATTTACTTTCATCGTTTATGAATGCAGGTTTTAATTCATTCCTTTCACTTCGGCTTTGCACTGCCGAAATTTATTTTAACGCGCTAAATATATTGCCAAGTCACTGTTGCTTTATAGAATTATTGAAATAGTTTTTTTAATCAATTCCTCACAAACATACAAACAACATTAAAATATAAATGTATCCTCATTAAAATATTAGTATAGATTCTCAAAAAAGAAATATATGAATTATTATACAATACTATGGTAACTAAGTAATAGGCCAGTAGAACACCCGGATCTATTGACATTTAACTAAAGTTGGCCGCTTTTCCTACAGAAGTAACACCAAAATGTAGCCAAATAAGAGAGAAGGCGCATATTTCTGTCGCCTCAAGTATCTCCGCAACCAGAACCCATCAGGCAGGGCGGGTTTACTTTTTGCGTCTTGCTTAAAAAATTACAAAGTCTAAAAATAGAGTAAGTACCGAGTTTAAAAATCTGCTGCAATTGCAATTTTAGACCAGTCCAATGTGAACGGGCTATAACCCACCACGCGGATTTGTGTGTGCAACGACCCCAGACATAGTCGTGACCAGCGGGCTTAGAGAATACAATATTTCGGATGGCTCTATAAGGTCAAAAAAATAAACTTTCACCCATCCTATGACCAACCATTGCGAAAGTTTGCTTAACTCTCACGATAGAATGCCGAACGCGCGAACCACTACTCCATCGACCTCCTCACCTTCATATAAATATGAGTAAGTAACCCGAATATTGTCTACTTTCTCTTTTATTTATACAAATGATTCTGAAATTTCAATACTAGATTAACCGTGAATTGTTTCCAGTTGACTTTTATTCGTGATTCAAAACACATGTGCCATGGGCTGCGACAGACACTGTGTTCTATACCAACTGTGTTTCCATTATTTACGATCTGTAAACAGGTGAAAAGATTTAAATCATTTTCGTTTTCTTTTAAATTTAGTTCGCATTGAAATACCTTGCGGCTTTCTTACAAATTTTTTCATACAATGAGATGACGTCATTAGATTTTAGGGTTCCGTACTGAAAAGAGCGAGAAACCCTACCCCATTAAGCTTTCGCTATCTGACAGACGGATAACAAAGTGATCCTATGAGTTCAGTTTTTCTGTTGATGCTGTGCCTACGATACTAAAAACCACAAATTATTCTAAAATTGATCAGTTTGAAACAAATAATATACCTACCTATATTTAATTATTTCATCATTAGAAATCTACATCTGAGTTTATCGCGTTAATATAAATTTCTCCCATTGCAAACGCGGAGCGGGTCGCTAGTCAATATTAATATTGGTAAAGCTAATTTCAAACAAAAAGGAATTAATTCAAACCTGCATTCAGAAACAAAGGAAGTTAATATTTTAACAGCTTTTTAAATCTTAGACCTAATTAAACCAATCTAAGTTTGTTAATCTAACACCTTGTCAACTTGTTTTTCTTGAGAATACATTTATGTTTTTTTAAATGACTTACAGATTATAATCAATTATAATAAAATAAATTTAGAAAAACAACCCATAAAGTGTTATGCTTTGCTTGATCGTTCTGATTTAATCGTAGACATTTCTAACCATTCTATTTATTCGGCGGCACCTCATACTAAAAAATAAAACTAAAAGACCATTGACAAATAAACATGATGATGTATTTCACCTGACCTTTAAAGCACCTCTAAAAATTTATCTGCGTACATATTGGACAAATATTGTTTTGTTTTTGAAAAATATGTGTCATTGTGAACAAAAGCGGTCGTTCTAAAATATTTATGTCAAATGTAGCGTTAAGATATTTCAAGCATATAATATTTAACTATATATATAACTATATAGGCACACTGTAGATAGTGAGGTAAATATTTATTCCAAATCATTCAGAACGATTCTCTAAACCTAACCTATTAAATTTGACAACTGCATATCCTTGTCAAACTCACGGTAGAATACGAAAAGGCAGTTATTATTTATTGAATAAATGGTGGTGGTACTCCTAGAGTGCTGACAGAAGTCTCAAACCTCAAAGAAATCAAATCAAAATGTAAACAAAATAGAAAAAAAAACATCTCAAAAAAGCTTAAAGAAGTTTTCAAAAAATAAACAAATAAATACTAATAAAAATGTAAACAATAAAATGAAACAAAAATTTCATGCCTGTGGGGTTCCAACTCAAGAACTCTTGCACTCGAAGGAGCTTTTGTTGCATTAAACCCAGCCACACAACGTTGGGCAAAATTTAAATTCACATACTTAGTAGGTATTATACATAGGTTTCGATCACGGTGTCTCGAGTTGGTTGTTTTTCTCCCATCTCAAAAATATTCTAATAGAATACATGGATCATGGGTGCCCAGTCTATGCCAAAACTGTCCTGTCCGCTTGTAATTGCCAATAAATCACTAATATAATATGTATAATAAAGCGTAGGTACAATATACTTACCCAGTACAACATAAAATTTGTGACAGATGTTTTTTTTTCATTGTAGTATGTATGGTGAATAATAAAGTTCATTAAATGCTATCTCAATAAATAGTTAGTACCTACCTATATAAATAAAATGTCATTCAAAACTATAAAAGAATTGTTAATTATCCTACTTAAATTAAATTTAATAAATTATGTAATTTATTGATATTTGATAAACAAGTCTAATATTGCGTCGTTTGTGTACCTACTAAGCTGTCGCCATATATCATTATCTCGCTTTATAATAATGTGAACTACAATCATTATCAAATTGTAAACTGGATAAATCGATTTCAAAATTTATACAAGATATTCATACAATGAAATTTTTAAATATAATTAATTTTACTCCCTTCAATACATCTTCATTGGTCAAGGTACTTTTTTCCCCAAAACCCACACAACCAAATTATAATGTTATGTTTACGCAGAGGAAAAACTTTAAATGAGAAATAAATTTAATTCACAAAAACAACATTACTCACACTGTAACGCGTTCGTCACACGCACATATTCTAGAATTATACGTACACTTTGACAGAATATAGAAGAACAAGAGCACGCAGGCATTAAAAGCCACTAATACCAAAATGGTGTATCACATATCCCATACTCCATCCATAAGGAAAATCTATGCAACGTCAGTCAAAAGGCTGATGATGATGCAAATAAATCCAATAACCCTTAAATAAGAAAAACATATATGATACTAGCATACGCCCGCGACTTCTAACTAAGCTTGTTCCAAATATCATTCAAATACGTTTAGCGGTTTTTGCGTGAGTAACAAATATACTTATAAATATACACACAACCTTTTTAATATTAGTAGGATTTCAGTATGTTTAGGATGAGGAGGAGTTCGTTGGAGCAGGTGGTTAGCGCGTTTGGTCTGTGATCATGGAAGCTAAGCAACTTTCGCACTGACCGGCCATTGAATGTGTGACCAAAAACTGATTAACACGAGCTTCTCAGTGATTCGAAAGACACGTTAAGACGCATGTGCCCCAGCAGTGCGGACATTAATTGGCTGATGATGATGTTTTCTTTGCGCAGGCTCCCGGAGGCGGGTGAGAAGCCGGCGCCGCCGTCTCCGACCCTAGCGGAACAGCCCCTGGACCTCAGCGCCAAGTCCACTTCCAGCACCAGTGGGACTCCCCCGCCTGACGCCAAGACCCTGGACAGCCGGTAACTATAAACTATTCTGTTCTTCTTTCCGTTGCTTCTTCTTTTTCTTTATCATCAGGAAGGATGGATCCTCGAACCATTATAAACTCTTTGTCATTATGCTACAAGTGTATCTCCAGAATGAGCGATATTTCACAATCGATTTCACAATAAGAATACTAAAAGTATTATTTCTACGTACTTATATAGGTATTTTTATATACACTCCAGTACTTTCCTGGCCTAAATACAATGTGCTTAAAGTAATATTCAAGAAGATAATAAGTTTAACAAAAAACCAGCATAATCAACAGTTAGTTACTAGGAAACGTACAGACGCCGAAACGAAAGCCTATTAAAACCTGAAAATGCAACATTTGCCGGGCGCAGTAAATCGAATGGAGGAAAACATACCATTTACAATTTTCCATGGGGTCCCTTGTGCAGGTATATTGACCATAATACACTAACAAGACTGCACTACACCGCAAGTGCGTAGCAGTGCCAATGCTGTATAATTTTTATTTTGAGATGTTAAATGGGGGGGGAGGGGTTCGAGTCAAATCTCATATAATCTTACGTTGGAGAGAGAGGGGGTCTCGGCAAATATCACGCAATTTTTTTTCTGATTGAAACAAAAAAAATATGTACTATTTGGTCTATATAATCCAGATTGTAACTGCTAAGATTTAATCTTAAGCATAATCGTAATACGATGAAGATCATTCACTAATTCGTTCGAAAGAAAATTATTTCATTCATACTTCGACGTTATACATCTACTGACTGTCAAACTACCATATTTGTTTTATACCAAATAGCTCAATTTAATCTGAATTAACGGTACAGTGTAGCCCGTCCTTTGTTTAAACGCCACTGTCAACCGAACGCACGACTCCATGAATGAGAGAGTACGAGCTGAGCGGCAGCGACACATTTTGAAAAATCTCACGTGAGATTGGGGGATGGGGAAGGGGGTTGAATAAAATCTCACGACATCTCACCAAGGGGGAAGGGATGGACAGAAAATTCAAAAATACACCTCACGTATTTTATGGATGCCTCCTAAGCACTGGAAGGCTTGTGTTATGGGATGCTAGGGTAACGGATAGAATACATATACTGTACATATATAAGTATATTTATATAGAAATATATATTAAACATCACTGGAGTACAAATGCTCGTATTCATCACACAAACATCTGCACCCACCGGCATTCAAACCCGAGACCTCTCAAGTTGTCGGTACCATGAAACCCGGCGTACAAACCACTCGGCCACGGAGGTCGATATAGTATTTCATTAAAATGCATGTTCTATCACCATCATTGAGATTGGTGGATTGGAATGAGCTATAAAGTAAGAATAAATCTACATTATTATATAACATAAAGAAATAATCCAACTGACTGACTCATCGACGTGGAGACGAAAAACCTAGAATGATGAAATTTGGAAAATATTTTACCTTTTACTAACTAGATACGTAAGAAGAAAGAGATTTTTGAAAAAAAAAATAGTGTGATATATAAGATAAGATAATAACACTTTATTGCACAACAGTAACAAAAGAACACGAATAAAATACAAAAACAAGGCAAAACAATTACAGTTGCACAAAGGGCGGTCTTATCGCTAATCAGCGATTTCTTCCATATATGGGTTGATCTTTAGTAAAATTGCTAGCAAGGTGCGTTTTGAGCCACAGCATATATTAACATTTTACCCGAAACCTCACGCAAGCAGCGCGATGCGCAGAGGTTAATGTGTTTAACAGTCTATAAATTATACTTTAAATTGCAAATTGAATGTATCTGATTTGTTTAACAATGTTCTTAATGATTTGGAAATTTAAAGAAATAAGAAGTAATTTTCAATTCTGTTGAGTTATGATTGATTTTGCATTGTCTTTTATTAATATAGCTTAAGTGCGTATCGCGCAATCTTATGCAGTGTACTACGGATATTCTGAATAGCGCGGGACGGGTGCCTCCGTACTGCCGACTTCCTCGGTATCGGATAACGCAAACAATGTGATGTGAACGCACCCATAAACTGGTGAAAATGAAACTTTGATATTGGACGGGGTCGGTGAACTTTTGACATATAACCTGAGAGCGCTATTCGAATACCAAGCATTTGAATATGATTGAATCCTCTAATAATAATTTGTGGGTGAACTCATCAAGAAACTTTAGTGTGGCACCTGAAAAAATTTATATCAATAATATTTACGAAAAAAATAAGCTACTAATTTTCCGGTTAAAATGAAACCGTTTCGAGGTATATTCTTGACCTTTCAGTAGTCTGAAGCCATATAATTCGGTAGTATTGTTTTAGGATTGCTACACTGAAAAGTTTATTTTTAATTGAGAGATTTGAATTTATTATTAGACTTTTCTGCTTGTTTGCGACATTTGAGATTATTTTCGTGTTTTTCTATTGTTTCCAATTGCTTAACTTTTTACAAAGGCACGGCTGTTGAACAAAAATAAACTTAGAGGATACCACGACAGAAACGAGGTAGGTACTTAAGAAAAAAAATACAAACAATACGCATAACAGAATTTACAAATAGTTTGTATTTGATAAAGATTCAGATTCACGAAGCGACACGTTTGACTGACATGAGTGGATTGTAGTTCAATCGAATGATGTGTGTCGGCACTATTTTGTGTACGAGCCATGCACAGTTAGCGCATTCCCCGTTCTACCACGAGATAATCCCCCTAGTTTACAACGAAGAATAAGCTTGGATTAGTTGCTCCATGTTTTGTCCCTGTTCATTAAATTACAAATGGCATTTGAGTGATACGAAAATCATATACAAACTTCTTTTTATAAATGCCAAACATACTAATAGTAAATTGGATAAAATGTTATCCTCACCACATAGCTATCCTCTTTTCAACTTTCTCTGAGATAAGGTAAGGTAAACAAACCACAAAAAGGATTTTCAATAGGTCGGGTTTTGTAAATATATATATATAATAATAATAATAATAATAATAAAAAGTTGCTTTAAAAAGCCTGTGGCTATTGCCAAACTTTGAACGCAATATAATACTAGTAAATTGAAGAGTAGTGATAAAGCAAATAATTTATGTTGAAATGTGAAGTTTTGCAATCAGTCTGATTACACCATTGGAAACATTGGTTCATTTGCTTACTTTTTGTCTCAGTGGAAGTTGAATAGAGTATAGGTACATTTAGTCGTTTCGACCACTACAAGTGTGTTTATTATTTACAAAAAGTGTAGTGACATTCTTATCAGTCAACGCACACCTCTAATTTGCAATAAAATGCAGACGCTCGCCGCTGCCGTATGGCCGTCGATAAATAGTCATAATGTCAAGGAACCACTATCGCCCAGTGTCAACGTGCCACACGATTGTAAAAAGGCGTATCGTCTTGTTTGTCCTGATTCATTAGACTGATGAAATTCAACGCGAGTAGATCGTTATTTATTCAATAAAAACACTTTTAAACAGTTAATAAGGCCGGACGATGAATGGGGTACCGGAAATTCAGTTTTGCCGATCGCTTCCATATTTTGAAAGCAATTATTGATTCTGAATTCCTGACTGTTATATCTGTCGCTAACAAAAGTGTCCGCTTTCTATGAGGCTCTTCAGAGATGCATACAAAAGGCCTACAATCTTCCATCTTCTAATATATTTTTGAAATCGTCGTGTCACAGTGTTTCTAAATAAACTCCTCCGAAACGGCTTGCCTGATTCTTAGGAAATATTCAGTAGGTCTGAGAGTAGAACGTAAACTATTTCCATACCTCTATGTGATAAGGGTGGTCCACCACAACTTTTTTTTATTTGTTTATGATATTGAAATAGTTAATTTGAATTAAGCATCAAAAATACATCGAACTCAAAAATTTCACCCTTCTACTTCACCAACTCCTAGTTTTATGGCAGTACGAAAAGTTCGCTGGGTCAGCTAATAATAGCATTTTAATTGTAGTCAAAGTGGGACAGTGTCAGAATGATTTAAATCAGTCGGCAGGGCCTACAAATTTATCACGTATTAGCCTCATTCTATAATATTTGAACGTAAAGATAATCTTTTTAGATGGATTTCAGAGTAGACTTGTTGTCATGTTATTAGCAGAAACCACCGTTCTACTAGGACTCGTGAAATCGTTCGAGATAGGTAGATACCTACCTAGGTATTCTTATTTTGAAGAAGAATTTTAATTTTAAACTTTTCTAATGAAACTCTTTGCATTTTCATGCAAGTCACTCTATTCTTTGAAAATCACTGCAAAATCCCGTCTATAAGACTACGAGAAGTTAAGTTTTATAAGAGAAGTCAATCTTAATTCGTGTTCATTCACGTCTAGTCTAATAACGAACGAAGGCAAGTTTCAGCAATATAGTACGTATCAACACAATACCCAATCGATATCTGAATAAATTCATTCGCTGGGACCGCGATCTGGGTCGCCTCGCCAAAACAAATAAAAATGTAAGCGATAGTCTCCGGTGCATTGACCTTGCATCCTCGGCATACACGCAAAAAGGCCAATGGAACACGAACCTTCTTCCAATGATAGCATAAAGCTCAAAATCCTTCGCCCTGCACTGCGAAAAATAAGAAAGCTAGATCCAAGATGAAACTAAAGAAGTTGACGACCACCGAGCAATTTAAAACTTTAAATATAAAGCGGGAGAGTCGTTTGTGGGGTGAGGACACCGAAAATAAAAGCGAATGATAAAGATGCATTCATGGTAGCCTGTTATCGGTGAGACGTAGAGCAAATATTTCGCATTTCGCTTATCTTGGATTAATATGAGGACTGTTTCGAAATGTCTTATTTGACGGCTGTGCTGTGTTGGCCTGATTTGGCGGTGATTCACGTCGCGAGCTGGCCTGGCTGACTTTTTTTATTTATTTAACTTTTCTGTGGGTGTGACCGATGAATGAATTCGTCACAGTCTGTCACAGTGAAATAAAATTAGTTGGGTAATTCATCAACTCGTCGATACGCTAGTTTCTATTGGTTTTTAATGCGGTGCACAGCTTTTGAACTAAAATGCAATTTGCTTTTAAATGAATTACGTTGGAAACTTAATATCTTGAAATAGAAATATTAAATGCTCGGGAAATTTTGTTTTTAAGTATTTTCCTAGAAAGCGTGGAAAGAGTTTTCGTTTACTTTTAATTCGTGTCATAAAACTTTATTAAGTATTCTGATAGGGATGAAATAATGAATTTGAAGGAAGTATTCATTAGGGATATGAGTAAAATTTACACTTACAATGAGGATATTTACTCAATGTTGTATCAATTTACAATAAAACTAATAATCGCAGCAGTTGTACGTGGCAACCTCAGCTTATGGGTGTAATCAACCATTCGTCCCATGACAAAAATGCTGCTTAAAAATACTTTAATACATATTTATATTTTGCTACTTAACGCTGATGATCTGCGCTGCTTATATCTATTACATCATAATCAACCTATTTACGTTATCGCTGCTGGGACATTGGCCGTGCCTTCTCTATGGATAGAACAGGGAGATGAGGCCATTATCCACCACAGGCCCAGTGCGGTAGGGTGTTTCTGTTTTACCTGCTTAAATATCTGTATTTGTCGTAGGATGAAACGAAGTGCGCTGGATGCAAGCAACAGCGTCGCACGGCGAGCATACACTGACGATGAGCTGCAGTCTGCGCTCCGGGACATCCAGTCCGGAAAACTGGGCACGCGCCGCGCCGCCGTCGTCTACGGCATCCCACGCTCCACCCTTCGCAACAAGGTCAACAAGTTCGGCCTTTCCACTGAGCAACACGACTCGGAAGTCGACAGCGATCCCGAACGACCAGAATCACCTCCCTCCGTCATACTAAAAATACCAACTTTCCCGCCACCGGATGACAAGAGCCCCTCGCCGGCCACTCCAGTCACCACACCGGTCACACCGATCACTCCCATCATCCCTCCGCCGCAGCCACCGCTAAATCCTTCTGCACATTTACCGGCCTTCTTTGCCGATCCGCCGACCAACCAACATCTGTTCACGTCTATCAACGATGTTATAGTCAGAAGCATTAGCCAAAAGTTCCAGCAGCTGCCGGACCGACCACCTCAACCATCTGATCTGCAATATATGAGAGCACCTGATCGACATGTGTCCGTCATTAAGACTCCACCGGACAACCAGAGGAACTATCAGATGCCGAGCAACTCAAAAGCGACGAATAACGGCCAGCCCGCCACAGGAGGCAAGGGCACGAGGCCCAAAAGAGGTAAGTACAGAAATTATGATAGAGACAGCCTCGTGGAAGCAGTCAAAGCTGTGCAGAGAGGTGAGATGTCAGTTCACAGAGCTGGTTCATATTATGGTGTTCCGCATTCAACTCTCGAGTACAAGGTCAAGGAGCGGCATTTGATGCGTCCGAGAAAGAGAGAGCCAAAACCGCAACAGGACCCGAAGCCACCACCGAAACCTCAGCCAAAAGTCCCGCCGCCAACAAAGCCGTTCTCGAATGGAATGAACGGACCTGAAACGCCGGCGTACCCGACGGGCTACCCATTCTGGGCGGGTGCTGGTTTTCCGCCGCCATCACCGGATCTGTATGCATCACACATGATGCGCCGATTACGCGAAGAGGCACCTCCACCAGCGAACGGATCATTCCTCGAAGGCATAATCAGGTCGAGTTTAGAACGTCCAGGGGCGGCTCTGATGCACCGACTGACGGAGCAACGGCCGCTCGCCCCGCAGGACGCTCCGAGTCTGTTGAGACGTTTGACGGGTGAACCAGATGAGCCCCCGGCGAGGCGCCCGAGACTGGACAGCTCGGACCGGCAGCTGGCTGCAGAGATGCGTGAGGCGGTGCAGCGCCTTCGTGCCGACAAGCTTCGGCCACGCAACGGCACTCCCACGCCTCCTGCGCCCGTCTCGCCGCCGCCCGCGCCCGCCTCCGCGCCTAACGATCGCGCCTAATGGCGCTGCGCCCCGATTCCACCCGAGACGCTCCGATCTCCTCAGTCTTGTGATAATATTATGTAAAGTACATTCCGTTGGGAGAGGCGCGAGTTCAAACGTCGGTTGGGCTATGTCGTCTGGTGAGGCAGGTCTCCGCACGCAACAGGCAGTGGGTCTTTAATATTTTACAAGATCATTTTGATCATTACACGATGCAGATTCCGTTGCGCCTGACGATATAGATGATCACTACAAACGCGAAGGAGAGGTCTGGACCTGAACGACTACCCGCTCGCGTCCGAGGCGACGCATCTTTAAATAAATTGACGACATTTTATAGTGTGCAATAGAACATTTAAGGAGACTTCGTACGGTTATCACGCATTAATTGTGGAGTACTGTTGTAGTGACAATAACGTTAGTTGCAAATTTAACCCATATTTCGATTTAGACTGGGTTGAATATGTTCTAAACCGCGATATACTTTGTCACTTGTAAATTTGTGTTTGAGTTTTAGCTTCCCCCTGTCGACCCAGGCGATCTCTCACTTACAATTTTTCATTCATCACCAAATAACACAATAGTTACCTAAAATCACGATCAGTTCAACTTAACACAGCTTTACTATGCAGAATCACAAGTAGATTTAGATACAGACGTTAACATCTTTTGGAGTCATCCATTGAGGCATCAATGTTGTTCCGATTTATTATTATAATTGGCTTTCTTTACTAGTACTAGGAATGATTAGAGAATAGGATTTATTACTGGGGTACGATTTTCGTTAAATAAAATTTTGGCTAAAACTCTCAACAAAACAAATTATTTTTATGAAAAAGCGAATTACGTATTATTTTAATAGTACAGCGCGTCGTCACAGATGTCTAGAGTTGTAAAAAAATTCCGTGAGAACATGTGGAGCCTCGATTTTTGACCTTGTATTAAGGAAAAGACAACCAAAAGTTAAATTTAAAAAATTAACTATTTAAATAATTTTAAGTGAAAAAAAAACAGTGTAACAAATTAATTATAAAGCTAGCTATGAGTGTAAATGTTATCGATTTTTAAGTGAACTATTGCAGATTTTGTGCGGTGTTTTTATAATTAGATAGGTAATATATTGAATGAAATTATTAGCGCTATTTGGCGGGTAGTGCGGTTAAGAAACCGCCTTTTTCTATCGCGAGATTAATGAAGAAGAAGGCAGTAGTTTTAGATAGGTCGTCGTTTCAGCAGGGGAGCTTCGACGTATACGAAGCCAAGTTCGGACTTATGTGCAATTATTATTTTGTATAAAAATAGTAATTTAACTGTGTCTAAGCTAACACGTGGATTTCCATATTACTGAATGTGATATTTAGGTATTACGAGTGCGGTTCGTTTGGCAAGGGGAGACGCCCCACCAGTATACATACGCGTGTGTACTTTGAATATGTACATCTAGCGAACTTATATATATTTTATGTACTATTATTGTATCTTAAGAAGATATATTCTTATTTTTCATGGTCCAAGTTTTAAATGTTTTATCGACTATACAAAAAGTATGGATAATCATTATTATATTCTTGTCAACTTTAAAAAAATAAAATTAGTCCAAAAATCCTCAAAAAAATATTGATATCTTCAAGTTTGTGAAATTTTTTGGTGTTCAATCAAAAGTATATTATTGAAGTACGAGATGAAAATAAAATGTATACGCTCTCCCAGAATAAATTTAGGTAAAAAATATTTGGATATAAAATTATCATACGATACCTTGTAAGTTATGTGTAAATGTGCGCCTCATGAAAATTAAGAAGTCTTTGTATTGTGTATGTAATTAAAATATACATATATTATATACAAGTTAAAAATAATGTCATAATTTTTCTTCAGAGACCACAAATAATGTGCAAAATAGTAATACTAGAAGGGACTCGACTCGACATTTCGACATAAAAATATTCGAATCCAAGGACTGCTAGCAAGGGGGAAACCATTTGATTATTAATTATTAACGATATCGTTGAACGGTATATCTAAATCATGATACATATCCACAGTGCCGAGATGTCGAACGCATTCTCCTAGAGAAAAGTAACAAAAATTTTTATATTCAAAATTTTAAACTAGTCGATAGCATGTCTTCACTTTTTATTTTGACTGTGCATAATTTTCGACGTCTTTTTAGCCTTAAATCGTAAAAAGATATCTATATTAAACGTTATGTGCATTTATCTGAGTGATGTCAACTTTTTTTTGGACATAATCGATTTTCACTTTTTTTTTTCAATTAACCATCGTTCGTAAGCCCCACCAGACCGCATTTCGAGTTGCGTTCGAAATTTTAAAAAAGAAAACGAACAAATTCCTGTTTTAGATACGTACCCGGATCTGTGTGTTATGCCTGACATTTGTTGATAGCATAAAAGAAAAGGTTATTTTGTGTAAGTTTGTACAGAAACATAGGATGGGACAATTTGCAAAAAGAACTTAGATATTAATGAACATTCCGTTTAGAATGTTATTAGTTTTTTTTTATTACTATTATAAATATGAAATGAAAAAAATTAAATATTTTTTTGCATCGGGAACAAATAATTATGTTGTTTAATCTTATTTTGTAACGTTAGTTAATTTTAAGTGGCTTTATTTTATAAATAACCCAATATATTATTATAATATTATATTGAGATGTTATACGTCATTGTTTTTGTGCAAAGTGTTTGCGGGTTCAATGCCCGGGTTAAAAGAGAGTTGCGACTGATATGTAGTAGAAAATGCCGAGTGTTTTTAGCACTGGGCCGGTCTGTACAAAGGTATAAGCCGCCTTAACACTTAAAATGTTATTGACAGTGATCTTTCAAACTTGAAATAATCATGATCAACAGAAAATTTTCAAGAATACACCGCGCGCTCAGCCTTTTGTCATTTTCTGTGTGGTTGGTTATTAAAAAAATCTATAAAGGATGCTCATTATCAAAGTAACACTTAACCCAACCTTATGAAAAATAATTTAAATTTGATTCGTAATAAAACAATTGGCATCAAATTTTATTGCCACTTTCAGAGCACCTCATTAAAATAGTGAAACATTGGTAAATAGCATCTTTTTTATTTGTAAAGATCGCTGGTTTATTAGTGAATAATTTTTATTGTATATTGTTCAATCATTTTTCCATATAGTTTAAGTATTTTAGTTATATTATAGCGTAAATTTCAATTAATAGGTAGCAGTTAGTAATTCTTTAATATTTTGTTAATTATTTTTTCGTAAATATAAATTTTGCGTAAGGGTTAGGTTAGTCTGAACGGTCCTCGACTGGTCCAGGAACAAAAAGACAATGAAGGGAAGTTGCATTTTTTAAGAGGAAAATTATAATCAAGAAACAAGGGCCTCCGCGAGTTATTATGAATGTGAATCGCATCTCCGAACGCACGAAACTTAAGCGTGATTATGATAAATAATCATCAAACGATTGTCTCACGATGATCTATGAACATCATCCGACATTTTAGAAAAAAAAATTCGAATGACATTTACTCAAATACGCTTTTGAAAATTGCAATAAAAACTTTCGAATCGCGCACAGGTTTCGTGGGTCGGTATCTTATAAAAGACATATTGCCAGATCTTATTTCTAAGCATACGTGAACACAAGTTGTTTGTTTGTGTGACTGTACCTATCTTAATTGACAGTTGTTTTTCAACAATAAATCATTTATGATTGTTCGCCAATATTCGGTATTAAATGTGTGTATGGTTGAAAAACGACTACGTAACACATTTCTATAAATGTAAGTTCCATCTTTATTGTCACTAATTGTTTTCCTTTACAACTGTATATGTATTTCTAGAAGATTAATTTTAAACAATAATTATTGTACTATTATTACAATAACTGTCTTATTATTGATATTTAGAATTATTGTGGAAGGGTATAGAATACTGAAAAAGTAAATTTAATAAATCGCCAAGTGCGGTTTGTGAATGTTCAACATTCGTTTCTTTTTTAAATATGTACAAGAAGAAGCATTTAATTTTAGACATATAAATAACGTTATCTTTTATTAAAGTGGATAGTGTAAATTCGACTTATTTTCATGGTGTATTTATTGAAAGGAAACGCTTACAACAAGACATCACATTGCTGGGGAACATTCCTTCTTTATTAAGAATGTTTTCTTTGCTTCGCCATTTTGTGAAAATCGGTTAGAGGAATCTGGTAATGGAGAATGGACCAAAATAGACGGTAGGCATTGTTATCTTCTGAATGGCTCATGTTTTTTTTAATAATATATAATCCGCTAAAGAACCTAACAAGATCAAATTATAATATTGTTATTTAATTATTGAGTACAAGTTTTAATGGAATATTTTCTTTTTTCAATATACCTTACTCGCCTCTATGATTTCGTTATTTTGTTCCTTTAGTTTTTATTATTATTATTGTTTAATTGTCATAACAAATAAATGATTCTGCGTTAATTTTAGCGACTCATTAATTTTTATTTGTAATCATAAATTATAAATACTATTATATATTTTTCACTTCCTCAGTAAGAAAAGTGATGTTTATATATTATACATATATAGTTTTTTTAATATTATTATTGTTCTTTACTCAAACTATTGAGTACGCATAAAATCAATTGGCGTAAAGCGATTGGCACACAATTAACATATTAAATCTAGTCAAATTTTAAAAGTGGAAAATTTGAGGAGCTATATGGCGATTCGACTGACTTTTTGATAAAAAAAAAAGTTAAAATATTAAATAACGTCCAAAAACAAAATGTCGCTTGGCGACCAAAAAGAAAGTTGATTTGAAATTGTGGAATTGTAGACAATGTTTGTAAAAAATATTAAAAATAAAACTGTTTCTTACGTATACTGTAACTTTAGCATCATTTGAGGTAAACATTTTTTCATATGTAATGTCCTTTATCTGTAAGATCTTTATAACTTACGTTAATATCTTAATGATGTGGCTGGTTAGGCAGATGTAAGAATGTGCGAGGATATTTAAAACCTG